TTTCTCTGCCGGCCGCTGCTCTGCACACGTCATCTCCTTCATCCCTCTGATTGGTTTAGGTCTATCCGAGACATCCATTGGTGATGCCCCACTGGAGATGATTTGTCTATGATGCTTTGCCAGACCATAACTCAGTTACAACTGAGAATGGTCTGGTTATAACCAGGCTACAGACAATCGCGCTGCACCAAGGGAGCATGGGGAAACCCAGACTAAGTTTACAGCCCATTACAGACACACTGGCCACCCATAAAAGTGCTAAAATGCACCAACAATCATCAGTGTCTCAATTCAACAGTGTTTTACAGTTCATTACACACACACACACACACACATTATACAGTAGTAAACATTTGAAGTGGATTACTTTCATCAAAGTTATACATGAATTTTTAACAATACCCATTCTTGTCTTTATAGGTCAACTTTGATTCACTTTTTTGATCCACTTCAAATGTTGACTACTATATTCTCTCCATGTTCAACCACACTGAATCAGGAAAAAAATAATAATTTCATTTACTGATGGCAGTCGTAAAATAACCTCTCATAACATCTCCAGCAGTGACTCAGAGATTTAACACATCACAGTGGGATTCATTTGAGATGTGACTTACTTCACACTTTAATTTTAGAACAAGAATCTTCAAACATCGACTCTTCACAAGAAAGCGAGGCATATGATTCCCTTAGCCAGCATTTCAGAGAGAAAGTGGACATTATTGAAGCTCTAAAACTTATAGATCTGCAGCCAAATCCATGGGTTGATCTGATGTGTTTCTGAAGAAAGCTGCCTGAAGACCCAAGCTGAAGGATCATGGCTTCCTTTTACATCACGTAAACAGATTAAAGTACAATTTGTGGATTTGCAACCGTCTGCTTATTAGCAAAAGTGCTTTCTAATTGATGCAGGTTTTAGTACATGGAAGTGAAAAGAGGTAAAACACTGAGGCCACGTTTACACAAAGCCGGGTATTTATATTTTCCCCCTCTCCATTTTCAAAAATAACATTGTTTACACACCCGCATAAATACGCCATCGAGCGCCATCATAACTATGCCAAACCTATTGGCGGCAGTGTAGGGGTTAAGGATAAAGCCATTCAAGCCAATCAGAATCCTCAGAAACGACAAGAGAGAACCTAAAACGCCGTTTCTCCCAGTTCACACGACAACACATAACCGGCGTTTTCAGTTTTTAGAAATAATCGTTTTCAGTGATAAAAACGGCGTTTTCGTGTAAATGAGAGGGCAAAACGTAGAGAAATATCTGCATTTTCCCATCGTGTAAACGGGGCCTGAGCCACCAAACACTGTTGCAAATCAACAGCCAGAACACATTAAACGTTTTCTGTTTTCAGTTGAAACTTATCAGTTAATAACTTTATTCTAGATCTGCTGTAAAGCCAAAACAATCTCTGTTACTTTCATTTCCTATTATCAATGTAAAGCTGCTTTGAAACAGTCTATATTATTAAAAGCGCTATATAAACGAAAGTGACTTGACTTTAAGGCTGGGTACCGAGTTTGGTACTTTTTAGGTACCGACCGAATTGCCTCGGTACTACCGAATATCGAAACATGTCCAAATTTTGGTACCTAAGTGGTTAATCTCATCAACGTCAGTGAAACAATAAACATGCAGCATGATTGGCTGTGGCGGAAAACACTAGATTACGCGGCTGCTCAGAGACGTAGCTTGTCGTAGAGTGTGTGTGTGTGCGTGCGTGTAAGCGTCCCAACCCAGATGCGATACAAAATATGTGGAAATGATCCAAAGTGTACCTATGTGCCAGACTCGATCCAAGAAGCACGCGATACAATATTTTCGACAAGATAAGTGCCGCCAAGACTGGTAACACGGTAAATCTGATAAGCGTACAGACACTTGAGAGTACAAAGTTTATCCGTAATAATACATGTTGTTAAATTATTAGGAAACATAGAAAACTTTAGCATTGGTGCTTTTTTACATACTCAAAATATGAGTGTGAAAAAGTCAACAAACTGAAAAATAAAATAAAAATGTAGGTAATATTATATTGTTTAATCTGGTTACAAAAAATTGGTATGGAAAAAGGTATCGTTCAGGAACTGGTATCAAAGTCAAGGTATCGGTATCGATACTTACGATACTTACTTACATTTTGTTACGATAACCAGCCCTACTTGACTTAAAATGGAAGCCACCGTCAAAATAAAGGCCGTGACACAAAGCCAAAGGTCTGCCAACGTCGAGAGTTTGTCGGGTTAGTTTTTGTCATGTGATCCATTTCGCAAGTTGAATCGCGTCGGGCCGTCGTTGGTGAGAGAGAGATCACTGGCTTCAGTCTAGACAGACAAAAAGCTGTTCTAATTTTACATCTTTTACTCTATATTTCAAATGCATACAATGAATAGACAGGATTTTTGCATGCCTTGATCAAACAGGATCTGGTTATTTTATTTTTAAGATAAAACAAACATAAAATCTCACACCATGATTAGCTGTAACATTGAGGCTGCAAGCCTATGAACAGTGTAGGAAAGCAAATACCAACTTTTAGGTGATAGATTGGGAGATTAATAGACTAAATATGGAAAAAGATGGATTCGTGGCCTTTGAGAATCGATTTTGAGTCGACCACATTTAAAAAAAAAAAAAAAGATCGTTCAAGCGCTGCTTTGGTTTAGACGCAGCTGACGCAAAGCGGCAACAAATTCGTCTTTCATCGTCACGAGTTCTTTGACGTTGACTCGGCGTGTCACGGCCTTATGCTGCGTTCATGTGCTATGGTAATTATGGTAAATACCAAAAGCCGACGTGGAAAATGCACATGAACACCCCCTCATGTGGTATTTTCCACTGGGGAACTCGTAGAATATTTTGATGGACGAGTTGCAGAGATGAGATAACCTTTGATCTTTTCAAAATGGCGGAGAGCACCGCGAGAGTCGTGAATGGTAAAATATATACTATTCTCATGATCTAGAAAATATAGGCTACAGCATATTATTTACCTTTTGAGTTTTGATAAATCATTTTCTTGATGTTGCAGATGACTTAAGCAATCTAAAATAGTTTTAGCTAAATAACAGGTCGTCTGGATCTCCATCTTTTTACCACATAACGACAACAAAAGCACTTGAACGCAACACACTGGTAAATACCAGTTCACAAGTGGAAAATATCCTATTTACCATAGCATGTGAACACAGCATTAAAGACAGGCCTGAGCATAACACAACAGCAGAAACAAACCCCACGGCCATCTTTCTTAACCTCCTTACCAGGATTTCTAAGGTCATAAGATGCACCGATGTAAAACTTTTGGTCCATACCGATAACCGATAGTTCTTTATATTTGAAAGTCGATAACAGATATATAGGCCGATATAATTTGCAAAGGCCAGAGTACAAAAACAAAAGTCTCACCATTAAAAGACATGTCCCTGCAGACTTCAAACTCTGACAGACGTTTCAACACACTGACTGTTTTAAAATGGGGTTGGATATATATGTGTTTTAATGCGAGTACAGGCCTAACAGCTACACAAATAAAATTTAACACTTTGCAGACTGTATGTTGTGCTGTATGAACACAGGGCTGCCAACTCTCACGCATTCAGCATGAGACTCACGCAATTGAGCCAATTCTCACGCCACACTTCTGACTGATGTGTCAAGCCTGAAAGATGTGTTTATCTACAGGTCTATCTGTGGAGGCGCTCGCGATCGACTAGTTTTACTGCAAATTAGTTAAAATATCCTGTTATCTTATCATGCATGCGAGACAGAGGTTGAGCTCCTGGAGCTGTTGCACTTGGATATACAGAATACATCACAATATGGAAGAAAAGACTATCACAACATCTTTTTAATCACAACTTTAAGCAAATATGTTAGGTTATATGAGTTTGGCATACAGCATAAGTTAGACCATACATATTGGGTTTCAATTTAACCAAAACATATGAAATATTACTTTTGCAACAGGTATAGGTTCCCTCGAGAACTACATTTTCCCTTTTTTTTTCGATAACAGTGATGGAATGCAGTCACAAAAAGACTAAATCCTCTCCAACAGCATTTCATCGAGGCTGAGAAACGAACAACACAAAGGCGACGGGTACATGCTATTTATCCATGCTTTCCATATTTGTGAAGTATATAAACTGTGTGTTTACGTCATGAGTCGGGTCAGCGATCACGCTTCCGCCGGAACTACTCGCATACAAAGCAAAGCCGATTGGTAGTTCATAATATTAGAAATATGGACGACAGTTACAGAGTAATTGGACCAAAAACATTAATAATTGGAATGATGCACTCAAAAGCTCAGTTATTTCCGTTATTATATCACACAAGTTCACTGTTCACACACAAAAAGTGCTATTTCTATTTGTAACATGTAAATATAAAAAGCAGCAGTGGGAAAGCAATAGTGAACACTCTGTCTCATAAAATCACTTGATGACTTAATTTAAAGAGTCAGATATATTTAATTGGCGGGATAAACACCAATATAAACAAAAGATATATTGTTTTTTTGTTTGTGTGAGGAGTTTCATTGAGATTAATCTGCTCAGACTCATGAACAGGCTCTAGCTAGCCTGTAATTTATATTCAAACGGACAACTCAATACTGACAAGCCACATATCAAATAACAGCCGCCAAATACTAACACTGACAGTAACTCTCACGTCATCATTCACAAAAACAGAATAAATGTGTGCAAATCAACGCATGAAACTACAAAACAACCCCTCACTCACCTCTGTCTGGAAGCGCGTGCTGTTATTGAGACGAATGCGGATCTGCCTGATCAATATAAACACCACATCTCACAGTATATATTAATTTATAACACTGTGGTACCTTGTGATATTTTAATAGTGAAAAAAATGTATGAATTAAACTTGAAAATCAGCTTAGATCGTATATTTTAACGCTAAAGAGCGTGTATGTGTTCAGGCGCGCCTCTTGTAGCTGTTCTTGGGTCCTTGCGTCGAACTGACAGCTCTGTTTCCATCATGGCGGCGTCCGGCAGAGAGCATGTACTTTCACTCTACAGAATGCTTCTGAAAGAGAGCAAGAAATTCCCCTCGTATAACTACAGGTAATGACACAGATTCGCATGTATTTATCAGCAGAACGGGCTCGTGTCATTTAAGCAATAGTGTCTGTGGCTTTTACAGGCAGATTCTGTCAGTTTCTTTATTATTTGTAATAAAATTAATATTAATACATTCTTAGAAGATATGGAGCATGCATTACATTTTATACAGGATAAAGAGGAAGAAAACTAAAGATATATTTAGTTTGTTAGTTCGTTTTGTTTCAATTTGGAGGTTTTTCTTTTTGTTATTTATTATTTATATATTTATTTTTCTAATAAATAAATGTAACACTTTATTTTACGAGCCGCAAACAACTGTGCAAGTACACTGAGATTACGGTGTACGTTTCTGTAATTATAGTGTACTTCCGTGTAAGTATAAGGGAACAATATGTTAAGTTTTGGGTAATAAAGGGGTAACAAGCAGATATACAACCTGCAAATAACTTTGTAAGTACACTGAAATTACTGCGTACTTTTCTGTAATTATAGTGTACTTCAGTGTAGGTATAAGGGAACGATATGTTAAGTTTGGAGTAATAAAAGGGTAACAAGCAGATATAAGCAAATGACTTAATTAGTTAAAAAATAACAGGTAACCTAATAACCTATTCTGTTAATATATTCCATGCAAAAATTGTATGTCTGTTGTTTATAAAATGTATCACATTTCTGGCAAAATATATTCTTGTGCAATGTTACAGGGTAATTTTGACATCTGTGGGTTAAAAATTATTACATTTATTGGTTTTTCTTACTAGATTACTTAAAGTTAAGTCGAAATAATTTGTTTTTGCTATGATTTTAATTTAAACCGTACCATGTGGTAATTAGTACTTACCTTATCCCATTGAATTGCAATTGCAAATTTCAGGGCACTTCAGGGCAAATATACTGTGAAATAAAAAAGTGTTTTTTTTTTTTTTTTATAACAGTACCTTTCTCTGTAATTACAGTGCAAATAGTGTTGTTTCGAATTGCTACATAGTAAGTATAATTTGTTACCCCCTTGTTCTGTGTAGTTACAGGGTAAGTGTTAATCCTGCGGGCTGTAAATTAAAGTGGTGCTTGTTACCTGTTTATTACCCAAAACTTAATGTTTTGTTCCATTATTCCTACACAGAAGTACACCATACCGTAATTACAGAAACATACACCGTAATTTCAGTGTACTTACACAGTTGTTTGCGGGTCGTAAAATAAAGTGTAACCAAAAATATATTTATTAAACGGCATGTATTTGATCCATTTGATGTCATTGTTTTCTATAAAATAATTTTATTCAGCAAGGATGCATTAAATTGATGAAAGGGGAAGGTAAAGACATTTATAATGTTTATTTATTTATTTATTTTATTGAATTTTCAAAATTGCAGAGTTTGATATCAAGTTCTTGACATTTCTTTTACACATTTTCACATTTGATATATATATAACGTGAAACAACAATAATTTTGAAAAAAAGAAACAGAAAAGACAGAAAAGAAAAGAAAGAAAAACAAAGAAAAAACAAAGATAAAGGGCATCACAGACATATATTAAACTCCTTTAGCAGTGATGCAGATCTTTGGGCTTTTCGATTGTTACTGACTCAAAATACATTTTAAAGGCTGCTTTAAAATGAGCAAAGTTGGGTTTTGAGTTTCTTCATTTAGTTTGATGAATATGAAATTTTCCTAATAATAGAAACAAATCGATAACATACATTTTCTTATGGAAAAGTCAAATTAATGTGTATGAAGTAAGATAGATGAAAAATTTAAGACAAGGTTGCAGTTAATTTTAACACCTCTAGGGCTGTCAAAGATTAATCACATCCAAAATAAAAGTTTGTGTTTACATAATATATGTGGGTGCACTAATTATTTTATATATATAAATACACACACATGCTTGTATATATTTAAGAAATATTTATAGATTTATATATTTATATTATATATAAATATAAATATTTTATATATAAATAATATTTTTTTTCTTAAATATACATGCATGTGTGTGTATTTATATATATATATATATATATAATTATACACAGTGCACCCACATATATTATGTAAACACAAACTTTTATTTTGAATGCGATTAATCATTTGACCGCCCTACAAAGCTTCAGTTCAGTCTTTTGGTTTCCAGACCTTTAACCACTCGCATCACCACTCAGAAAATTGGTTTAAAATTGTAACATTTATTACCAATTGTAATATATTGTGATTTTATTATTATTGCACTTTTAAACAAGAAATGTGACATCGTGGTTGATATTACTTTTGGTTCTTTTGTCACACTGAAAAATAAAGGTCAAGTCAAGTGCATTGCTTTCTGGGATACAGAGCCTCACTGTGCTCGCTCTGTCGTGCTTCTGCATATTTTGGCAAATGTAGGCCTGTAGGTAAGCCAGATATTCAATGCAAAGTGTACATACTGCAGAAAAAAACATGTGTGTCATTCGAGCATCCCCTGTTTCTCACCTCAACACTTTATCTAATATGGGAAAATCAAGCCATAATATCATTCCAAGTTATTGTTCAGATAGTCTATCTTCATGGTGCATTTATATTACAAATAGCTTTAAAAGACTTAAAGTGTTCACAGAATAACAAGATAATATTCTCCCACCCACTCAGTTTCCAGAGCTTTGAGTCTCCAGTGTGATTCTCCTTTAAAGTCTGCCAGCGTTCACATGTTAACAGTCTTGAGCGCTTGCTTTTCTAATCCTTTCGGTTTGCCTGCATACAATTGTTAATATGAATGCAATTCATTAATACCTCATTGAAGAAACATTTTAGGCAGAGTGGATTTGTGTACTGTTCTTGAAGAAATTCGTAAAGAATTGAAAGCCACAAGGGCTCTCATTTACAAAGAACACATTTTTAGTGATTTGTTTCACGAGTTAATTGACATTTTTGGTTCAATTTGTATATACTGACTGAAAACTGATATTGGATATTATTAATTGTCCATGTTGTAATTCTCAGCTAAAGTGATAGTTCACCCAATTATGACATATATTTTCATTTCTGGGTGATCTATCTCTTTAAAGTGTACCACTTTAAATACACTAATGATTTAATGACACTGTTAAATGCACTGTGCATTATAATATTGCAATACCTAAATTCATTGATTTTAATTTGTATTATTATTTTTTTTTATTCAGACTGTAGACTTTTAATAGCGACCATTTACGGAAGAGGATTAGGGCCAAGCAATAATAAAAATATAAAATAAATAAATAAAACCATTTTTAGATTAAAGTCATTATAATGCAAAATTAAACTCGATACATTTCGAGAAAGGAAGTCGAAGAGAAAGGAGGAAAGGACGATCTTGAGAATAAACTCATTAAATATCGAGAATAAAGTCATTGTGTTTCGAGAAAAAAATTGTTAAATTTCTAGAAAAAAGTCTAAATACACTCTTGAGAATAAACTCATTAAATATCGAGAATAAAGTCGTTGTGTTTCAAGAAAAAACTCGTTAAATTTCTAGAAAAGTCTAAATACCATCTTGAGAATAAACTCATTAAATATCGAGAATAAAGTCGTGTTTCGAGAAAAAACTTGTTAAATTTCTAGAAAAAGATCTAAATTCAATCTTGAGAATAAACTCATTAAATATCGACAATAAAGTCGTTGTGTTTCGAGAAACAACTCGTTAAATTTCTAGAAAAAAGTGTAAATGCAATCTTGAGAATAAACTCATTAAATATCGAGAATAAAATCGTTGTGTTTCGAGAAAAAACTCGTTAAATTTCGAGGAAAAAAGTCTAAAAACAATCTTGAGAATAAACTCATTAAATATCGAGAATAAAGTCGTGGTTTCAAGAAAAAAACTCGCAAAAATTCTAGAAAAAAGTGTAAATACAATCTTAAGAATAAACTCATTAAATATCGAGAATAAAGTCGTTTAACCTCGCATTATAATGACTTTAATCTCGAGATGGTTGTATTTTTTTATTATTGCTTGGCCCTAATCCGCTTCCGTAACCATTTATCAGTTATTGGCCTAAAAATTTAAATAATATTGGCTTTTTATTAGCCCGAACTTTATTATTAATAGATACCTAAATAATCCATAAAGTGCATTACACATTATTAAAAATAACACTTAAAGGAATAGTTCTGACAGAACTGTCATCGTTACTCATCCTCAAGTTGTTTCAAACCTGTATGAATTTCTTTCTTCTGAAATTCATAAAGGTTTGAAACTAGTTGAGTGTGAGTAAATGACAAAATTAAAAATTTTAAGTGAACTATTTCTTTAATTGCTTTTAACAATGGCCACCATTCTTGAAACATTAGTGAAAGAAACTATACAATGTTTCACTGTTTTCAGTGTAACGCCGGCCTGGTTCAGCGAGAAAACCAATGTGCACTGTGTCTGTTAAATTATTCAAGGCCTTTTTTTAACTCATATTTGGCATTTTTGAGACATTGCATTGTAATACACCTTCAAATGGGATTTTTTGGGTTGTGGTCTGAGCCATGCGTGTGTGTGTGATCTGAAATTCTCACATTTATGAAGGAGGAAAGAAGTTGAAAGAGCATGTGAGAGAATGAGAGAGAGAGAGATGCAGGGAGGGAAAAGAGTGAATGAAATGCAGGACAACTACGAGATGATTGAAAGCCGGAAACAAATTCAGTCAGTGAGAGGGAATGATTGAGAAGGGAGGATGAAAGAGTTGTTGAGTTTGACGGAAGGTAAGAAAAAATGTCAGATCTGCCAAAAAAACACGCTCGCAGAGAGAAGGAGAGACTCTTTTTGAGGAGAGACATTTTTTCCACGCTATCCTGCAGAAAGTAGGGCATCTCTTACGTAAGGCATCTTCCCGTTAAATATAACCCTCCCCGTGGTCCTCCGCTCCACGCTCGTGCGGAGCCAATGACGGCATGTTTGTGCTCAGTCTTATTCAGAAAGCTCACAAGAAATAAAGCTTTAAAGGCTAAAGATAAATAAGTGATCGGGCATGACGTCACAGAGATCTGCGTGTGTAA